TCCAGTGTGTGGCCTCGGTGTCTGTGTTGCTTCAGACAGTGTCTCCTATTTACATTGTGTCAGGCTAGCTGATCTGTGAACTTAAGGCTCCTGTCCTAACTTCCATCTGCCATAGGATAGGGCACATTGGGATCAAGAAGTTGTGCTGGTGTATCTGGTGGGTTGTGGAGTTCCATCTCAGGCCTTTGGGCTTATGTGTTAAACACTTTACCACTGAGCTTTCTCCCGGGACCGAGAGAGTCATTTATTTGTTAGTCTGTTTCTCTGGACTCACAGTTATACATTTCAAGACTGGTTAATGGAAAAAGAGTCTGAAGTATTGAGAGTTGCTAAAAACCTCAGCATTAAAATGATGGAAGCAAACAAAACAGAATCTGTGAAGAATGTGTGCCTATGGGTCTGCCTTGAAAAGAAAGCCATATTTTACACATGGGTTTTCAGTCCTTAAATATGAGCCTATGTTGCATCCATCCATTCACAGTTCATTTCCTTTCAACAATCTTCCCCAGTAGCCCCATGGTAGAAACCAAAACAAACAAACAAACAAATAACATTCATTGCTGTAACAAATACTTGAGATCAAGAAGTTAATTCTTTTGATTCAATTTTTCTAGTTTGCTTCCAAAGTTAGCCAGCTCATTGCCTTGGGCGATGTGATGCAGTGCATCATGGCAACAGCAGCTCATGGCTTAAGGAGGCTGTGTAATGAGTGGTGGTTGGGATGCAGAGATGAGAAGTGGAGAGGCCAGGACAATACAACCGTCCATACTGTCAGCAATTCCACTTTTCAAAGCAGGTCCCACCATCCATAGTTCTCACCAGTTCTCAATAGTTAGTTGTGAGCTCGTTAGTGAATTAATCCCATCAGTCATAGCAGAACCCTGATGTCCCAGTCACCTTGCACAGTGGCTTCATTTGCTATGGAACAAAGTCTTCAGTACAGAACATTCTAGGGAGATGCTTCATGTCCAAAGTTATATACTGTACCTTCTCAGTCAAAGCGAGATTAACTAAAAATGAAGGCTTGGGAACTCTCCAAATTAGGAGATGTTGTAATTAAGAATATATCAAAGGTCAATGATAAGAAGATTTGGACAATGTAAAAACAAACATATACATCATAAGCTCAAAGTAAATTGTGCTGTTCTTACATGGAATTAAGCTCTTGTTTTTTTTTTTTTTTTTTTTAAATACATGATAAATCTTTATTCCCGTATTACCAGATTTAGTATGAAGAGACTGGATATTTCCCATTTAGGTATATGGCTGGCTTTCCTAGCAGGAACCTAATAAGATGCATTAAGGATTATCACCACTTGTGCTGTTGATTTGTCATTATTTGATATAGTCTGTTTAGCCAGAGTCCTAAGGATAAAAAATAGAAGGTAGAGATTAATCACCCGTCTCCTGGAAGATGCCTCTAGAACAGTGAGTAGTCATTAGACCATTCACTTCCATGTATGGACTTGGGGGGACTTTTCATTCATAACCATGTCACTAGTGTGAGCTTTGGAAGTTCATTCCTCCTCTCTGAATTTTGAGTTGTATTTAAAGGTCAGGGATTGGGCTACTGTACTACTGATTTCTTGCTCTTGTGTCCATTATTTCTATCAGGCAATAGCCCAGCAGAATCCAATAAAAAGTAAAGAGCCAGTGGAAGAATGTGCTAAAGGCTATTCCATGTTGTGCCTATGGCCTGAAAAGAAACCACAGAAATAACCATATTGGATGAAGATCTTTTCAAAAGTGATGAGTGCCTAAAATATATTCTGTGCTGAAAGTGTAAAGTTTTATGTGAACCTACACAGCTTCTGTTCCAAATGCCTGTTCTAGCTGTATAGAAGTTTGTTGAGTTGTACAGACATTGGGTCTGGTTAATTTATGGCAATTTTTATATAAAGTTTATAAAATTAAAGAATTTCAAGTGAAATTTATATTATACTCTTATCAAATAGTTCTGATGGAGCTTGTCTTATATTGATAACAAGCACCGGAGGTGTCTGCATTAATGAGTAGAGTCCAAATATATATATATGTGTGTGTGTGTGTGTGTGTGTGTGTGTGTGTGTGTGTGTGTGTGTGTGAACTTCTTCAGAGACTTTGGTCAGACTGTGGGGAACTCTGAGATATTTTTATTTTTTGTCTCCATTCCATTTCAATGTTGAATTCTACTCTGGGGAGCAAACATAATACTCTTAATGTTTTTGTCTCCAAGATCCCTGTAGAGCTGGGACCACTGGCTTGATACCTGGTAACTGCTTCCCATATCTTTCTTGCTAACCTATTTGTGGACATTGTGGCTGTAGCCTCTGTTGAGAAGGCAGAAGAGTTGGAGATAAATGGTCCAGCAAGTTAGTATGGTAGTGTCCCTTCTGTGGGGTCAGGTCCAAATATTTACTGTAGTTGAAAGTCCCATAAGTATTGAGGACTTTTGTAAAAGGAGTTCTTAATTAGTCTAAGTAATAAAAACCCAGAGTCAGATACAAAGGAAAATGCTGAGAGATCAGAGAGAAGGAGCAATCCACAGCCACACTTTACCCTGTGTCAGCAGGCAAGAGAACAAGTTCCTGCTTCTCCCAGCTTATATCCTCTCTCCTCCTAGTCATATCGCTTCCTGTTTCTGCCCAGACATCTCACTTCCTGTCTGTCTGTACAGACCTCCAGACCTATATGTTAGCTAATGGCAAGCTCCATTCTCTGATCTTCAGACGGGCTTTGTTTGTACAAGCAAGATATTACCACAAACTTTCATAAGTAACTAGGGGTTAGGGTGGCAGTTCTTTATTCCTGACCCTGTTTGGTGGCTCCTCTTGGGTCCCTAACCCAAATTAGGGATAGTACAAAACGCCTTCCAGGCCTAGTTGGTGTCTTCTGGAATTGGAAAGAAACATAACCTCATGTGGGGAATTTGTGGTGATATATTGTTTGTGATTAATAAAGCCTTGGGATCAGAATGCAAAGCTAGCCACAGCCATAGAAGCTGGGCAGTGGTGGCACACATGCCAATATCTGTCTCTGGATCTTTATTATTCGTGTTACAGGACCTTTCATTTTCAGGAACAACAGAGCAGTCTGTGGCAAGCTTCTTGAACCTCGTTATATATGTTTTCTCCTTATGATGCTTAAAACTCTTTGATTATAGTGAAAGAGATGGGGAGTGTTTATACAAGTCATCCACCTAGCAGAAGATGTCACTACAGTATCAAATGGACATCAGGTGGTTCAAGTCTCAAGACTTTCGATGCTTGCTTTCTTAGAAACCTTGGGCAACATTGCTTCCTGTGATGGCCCCAGAGGACATTAGATACATTTGGCATCTCATTCCTCCATTCCAGTCTTTCTTACAGTCAATAATAGAACTTTTTCCTCTCATGTCCTCCACACTTTCAGCATGTTTATTCTGTATACAACCTTGAGCTCTTTCTACTGGCATCAAACATTCTATGACTTGAGTCTATAAGGTTGCCTGGCACTTTGATAAAACTGTCAGGGCCTCCTTTTGCAGTAATCTGATATAGGGAGCTGCCACTCCTTTAGCCAGTATCATCCAAGCCTCAAGTATCTTAAAATTTTGAGTCAGTCAAAAGGACAGTGGAATAGAGTTCATCGGTAGGCTATTACATCCAAAATTATTTTATACCATTATCATTGCAGTGTTACAAGAAAAGTAATGTTTTTGCTTATCTGTATAGTCATAACTTCCTGCTGTATTATGATTTTGGTGGGATAAGATGTTATTAAATATTGAAAAGACAAGATAATATACTTTAAAAGATATAGTATCAAAGAGAAGAAGGTTTACTCTGTACGAAGCAAGTTTCACCAAATACAATTAGTTGTAGAGACTGGTTAGTAACATTTGTGGTCCTGTAAAAAGTGCTAAAACAAAAAATGTTATCAATGGCAGGGGGACTGGTTTAATCTGTTAGTCAGCTGTGTTATAAAGTGCCCTTCATGGCCTAAGAAAAGATTTTAACCAGGCAATGGTGGTGCACACCTTTAATCCCAGCACTTGGGAGGCAGAGGCAGGCAGATCTCTGTGAGTTCCAGGTCAACCAGATCTACACAGGACAGCTTCCAAAGCCACAGAGAAACCCTGTCCCGATCCCCTCCCCCCAGAAAAAAAAAAAGAAAGATTTTCATGAACAAAGAAGAATGGCTCTAGCTTACAATGTTTCCCTAACCTGGCTGTGTGGAGAGGGTGGGGGTGGACTGCTGGGGGAAATGCTGACCATCCACAGTGTTCTGAGACAGGACTTTTAGAGTCAGGAATTGGTATTTATAATTAGTCAAAGGTTCAGAACCAACTAGATGTGTTTACTGAAGACCTTTATATTCTGACGATGTTGTCAGAATGTACATGGACAGTAGAAGCAGAACTGAAGATATACTCTTTAAGTTTTTATTATTGTTGTGATCTTTTTTGTATCCCCCCCCCACCTTGTGCATGATGCACATGTGGGAACATATATGTCATAGTGTGAGTATGGAGGTCAGAAGACAGCTCCGTGAGTTACGAGTTACTACTTCTCTCTGTCTACATTCGTGTAGACTCCAGGAATTAAACTCAGGTCTACAAGCTGGCAGATGAGCTCTATCTGTTGAGCCACCTGGGTGTCCCAGCATTATTCTTTATGGAAGACAGACTTGTTGACAAGTATGGCCCATTCATAGCATCTAGCAAAAGCCTGAAGGCAAAATGTTACCGACAAACTCTATTAATTTTGCTGAAAGGCAATGAAGTTTACTTTGAAGCAAAATTATCAGTTCCCTTCTTGGGTGGATAGACTTTTCAACAGACAGTGCTCAACACAAAGTCGTCTTTCCCTCTAGTTGCTCCTCATAGTGTCTCACCTGTCACTCCTTGCTTGTCCCACTGGGGTCCTATATAGGCTTCAGAAAAAAAAAAAAAAAAAAAAAAAAAAAAAAACTTCAGGCTCTAAAGCTAATGATTGTGCCATTTATCATAAACATATATGTACATTTTTTTTTTATTTCAGAAAGTGGATGTCACCAGCAGGGCTGTGATGGAAATAATGACGAAAACAATCGAATATCTTCAACCCAATCCAGGTAAGTGTTGTCTTGTACAGTTGGAGTTCTCTCAGGTTAGCCTCTGACTGACAGACAGCTTAGATTTGGTAGGTTTCTCCTTCCTGTGACGGAGGGGTCATTTTAAAGCTCACATTGAAATGCCTTCAAAATATGTGGTATTTTATCCAACTGTAGTGTTTTTAACAGTGAGTGTATACAGCTTGGGTGACAAATCATGTCATGGTAGCTACAAGATCTTTGTATCTTCTCTTTAATTTTTCAAGAAGTGGTAAGAAAGAACAGGCAATGGCTTTGAGATGGATTGTGATGACTTCCAAAAGATAAGAAAAATAGGAAGCCGGGTATTTTTTGTGACATACAAATGGTTTATGCGCATACAGCCTAGGCTGTCCCTTCTCTTCTTCAGGCACATCATAGGCCAGCATCAGTTCCTGCTAACCTCTTGCACTAGATCTGAGACAGGATTATATCAGAGATAATGGAGTGTGTCTAGATAACCAAGTATGGCTGCTTCTGTCTCTGTCGGTTCTAGCACACCGGCCTCCATCATAGGCCTCTGACATTGTATGGGCTTCAGTTCTTGACCCCAGCTATAACTTGAAGTGAGACTAAATGTGCTACTTGAATGAAATATGAGAATTTGGAAAGCTGGTGGCCCTTGAGTCTAGTTTCTTTGGGAATTTCACATAGGACGTTAGGTCTCTGGAAGTCCTTGAGATACAGGTAATTATTTCAATCTCAATGGGTTCAGATGCAGGGTCTTAGTGACAGAGGGTAACAAGAGAGTGTCAGAGGGAAGCAGACAAGAGCCATGGTGCTGATGCTGCAGGCTGTCTCCTGACTCTTAGCTGCTGACTACAGCTTTCTTTCCATCTTTAATTGCAGTGGCAGCTCAGTTGCTATTTCAAAGTGAATCAGTGATATAGAAATAATATTCTCTCTATTTTGTATTAAGCCATATTAGAGATGAGATGATATGGTAGGGGGAAATATAGAAGAAGATATATGATAGGGTACAGAAACAAGTTTAACTGGTGGTAGACCAGGTCGATTTCAAGCTGATTTGTAAGCCATGCAATGAGCAGCAAGAAGCCAAGTTTCATGCAGTTGCCTACCTTCTTCCATGGAGATATAAAGATCTCATAGATGAACACATTTGTTCAAACAACTGTACAAGGTCAAGGCTTGAAAAGAGAACATCTCGCCTCACCATGTTTTACTACAGTGATGGTTTTATAGAAGCAAGAGATATTCCTATTATCTTTGCAAAGATCCTTAAGGCACCCCGTGATTCCTTCATTTTCATGCATGAATTATATTCGTAACTAACTGTTGAAAGGCCTAGTGTTAGGAATGAGAAGAAAAATACAGTATTTGTCAAGTTCTATTGCAGCTTCAATACAGACTAGGAGCATACATTCTCATCTTTAAAATGTAACTCAGTTTAGTCAGCAGTTCCTTTCTCTTTTCTCCCTCCTCCCACTGATACTTTTCTACTTTACAAATAGTCTGTCTCTTACTACCAAGTCTGTGTGGGTATGTGTGTGTGTGATCCAGTGAGTGTCTTATATTTGCTTACAAACATTGGGTGAGGGTTATTTGTAGCAGCCTAGGCAATTGATGAGTGACTTATACCATGGATTATGACTCCTTTTCTCTTGGAAGCCATAAACTGAACTGCCTCTGAATCCTCTGGGAGAAGTGGAGCCTGATGAGATCCCCCCCCCATCCATGATGGAATGTGGACAGACATAATCTTGTTTAGATAATCATACCTCCTGTGAGTTGAGGGAAAGCCACATCCACCTTGAACACTGTATTCTACAATACTCCTCTCTTCCTCCAATTCTTATATTCTTTCTACTTTCTCTACCGTGTTGTTCCCTCCATGTGGAGGCTATGAGTAGACATCTCATTTTGTGCTGAACACTCAAACTTCACCAGTTATGAATATCTGCAATAGCTAATATCTATTACAAAACAAACTTCTCTGATGGTATCACTAATGTGTGGGTAGAAATGAAATATTTAGAAAAACTTTTGAGTTTTGAGTTACTGATTTAGGCTACCACTTAAGGCCTGTGTCCTTCCCATCATGGGGATTTTGAACTAAACTGGAAGTAGGCATACATTTTCTCCCATAAAGTTTAATCAGGAAGGGGTTGGTTGCCTCAATAAGAGACATGCCACTGTTGCACCAAGACACATATCTTGCTTGGCTGTTGCTAATGTGGCATTGACAGTTTTCCTCTAGTAGCCTGAAAAGAACCTACTGATGGTATGAGGGCTAGCTAGCAGGGAGGAAGCTTCCAGCTCAGTTCAGCTTCATTTCTCAGTGCCTCCTATCTGAGAGTGTGGTAGCCTCAACAAAATGGTCTTACAATATAGGTGTAGTGGGCAACCAACAGCAGCAGTGATTGTATTGAGGGGTGGTTCAGGAGCCTTTATGACCAATAACTCATAGGGAGATATTGGACCCCTGGCTCTAGGATTGTTGTTTAATAACTTTTGACTCCTGGGAATAGCTTCATCCACCAGCACAGAGCACTGCTTTCACATTTCTTTGTTTTATTTTTTAATTAGCTTACATAGTCAGAAGTTGCATTACGGCTTTTTAATACAGCCTCACTTTTTACCCTCTCCTCTCACATCTCCCTGCCCCCATCTCTGCTTAAGTGTTTTCCTACCTTTACTGTTTCCTCCTTTACTTTCATGTAACCTTATTCTGATAACTAGCATCTGCCAAAACCTCATTTTCACCCCTCTCATGGCCCATTTCTCACTTCCTGGCCTGTACAGAAATTTGCTCCCTCATAAGCACCCATTTAAAGTTCAAAGCTAAGATACATGTATGAGGGAGAACACGTATAATTCATCTTTCTGAATCTGAGTATCTGAGTTGCCACACTTAACCTGGTTTTGTTTTTTGTTTTTTTGTTTTTTGTTTTTTTTTTTTTTTGTTTTGTTTTATGTTTAGTTCTAACTATTATTCTATAAATTACATTATTGCCTTGTTTCAAAGCTGGGTAAATTTCATTGTGTATTGCATTTTCATTTGAAGCATGCCTAGCTTTATGGAGTCCTTTGCATTTATGCCCAGAAGTGGTACTGCTGGATCATATGGAGGTTCTATTTTCTGGGTTTTGAGAACTCTCCCTTGTTTCCATAGTGTTTGCACTAGTTTTACTGTGAATGAAAAAGGTTCCCATTCTATTCTCCACACTCTGGCCAGCTGGTGTTGTCATTTGTTTTATCATGATAATGGATGTTCTGACTGGAATGAGATGGAATCTCAAAATATTATTATTTCTCTGATGACTAACACTTTATAAAAAGTTTATTCATCATTTGTAACTTCTGAGAGCTCTCTTTTTAGTCCCATACCTATGTTTTTAATTGGAGTGTTTGTTTTCTTTGTTGTGTGTTCTTTTGAGTTCTTTGTAAACTGGATATTAATCCTATTAAATGTATAACTGTCAAAGATTGTGTCTCATCATGTAGGCTGTCTCTTCATAACTGTTTCCTAACTTCATGAGGCCCTGTTTATCAGCTGTTGACCTCATTGCCTGAGCATGTAGGTCCTATTCCAAGAGTTTAATTAACCCACTACGATGACGTGTTTTCCCTATTTTTTACCTCTAGCAGTTTCCAACATTTCATTATTACCTTAAGGTCTTCCTTCTATTTGGGGTTGATTTTTGGAGATGTGAAAGATAAGATCTAGATAATTTTTCTACATGGAGATAGCCAGCCAGGTTCCCAGCACCATTTGTTAAAGAGGATGTTTTTTCTTCAATGAGTATTTTTGGCACCTTAGTAAAACATCAAGTAACTATAATTGTTTGGGTTCATAGTTGAATGTTTTGTTGTATTCTTTTGTTTTTTTTTTTTTTTTTTTTGCAACAGTACCCCACTGTTTTCCATCCATGGCTCTGTAATATAAACTGATATGAGATGAGGTATAGTCTAGCCTTACTGGTTTCTGACCCACTCCCAGGATTACTTTGGATGTCTGTACTTCCAGATGAATTTTAATGTTTTTTTTCTATTTCTATGAGGAATGGCATTAGAAATTTGATGGGTATTATGTTGAATATAGATTGTGTTTATTAAGATAGCCATTTTTACAATGTTGAGTCTTCCAATATGAGCTTGGGATATATTTGCACATTCAAGTTTCTCCTTTCCTTCAATTTCCTTCCAGTGTTTTAATGTTTGAGAGGTCTTTCACTTCTTTGGTTAGAGTCATTCTATTTTAGTGTTTATGGCGTTTGTCAATCAGATGGCTTCCCAGTTTCTTCCTCGGCATATTTGATATTGGCATATGGAAAGGCTACTGATTTTTAAATGCTCATTTTGTACCCTGGTAATATGCTTAAAGTGTTGCCCAATTCTAAGAGTTTCCTAGTGGAGTGGTTAGGATTTGATGTATTGACTTATATCATCTATGAATAAGGGCACTTTTCTTGTTTCTTGTCTGTATGATTTCTTTTGAATTGCTTCTCTTGTCTTATTGCTCTTGCTAAGGCTTCCAGTACTGTACTGAATGAGTGTAGACAAAGTGAACCACCTTGTCTTGTTCCTGATTTTAGTGGAAATGTTTTGAGTTTTTCTCTATGTAATATAATGTAATATATATGTAATAAAATGTAATATTTTGTCATATATGTTCACTCTGTTCCCAGTTTCTTTGTAACTTTATCATAAAGGAATAGTGGATCTTGTCAAAAGCCTCTTTTGCATTTACTGAGATGATCATGTGGTTTCTATTCTTACTTCTGTTTATATAATTTATTACATTTATTTATTTTTATATGTTGAATTTGTCACAGTGGGTGATAGTACTGTGTGTTCTTGAATTCAGTTATTGGTTTTCAAATATTACACTTATTAGCCCCACCACCTCTGTGTGTATATATGTTTCTCTTGTTGAAGTATCAGGATAATATTGACTTTATACTGACTTTGTAAGACATAAATAAATAAAGACAAATAGTGTTGCTTCTTTTAATGTTTCA